GTAGCTAACTAATTTTAATTATATGTACAAGGGTAGCTAAACTGAACCTTCCAAGTTGAATGCATCTCCCACGCAGTTTAAATATAGCTACTAATAAAAGTAATTTAATGGCAAAATCTTGCTGTGTGCAGATCACTGATTGCAAAATGCGCATCTTGAAAATTTTGTGTACTGCGACTCTTGGAAGTGTCAAAATTTTGATCCGTAATTAAGTTGAGGTAAATTGGCCGTTCTTGTACTATTCAGTTGTGGTTCTATATTACATTTTAAATAATAACCAGCTTTTCTAGAGCCTACATTCAAATGTTCAGGGGGCTGGACTAGATGACCTCACGAGGTTCCTTCCAGCTTCACTTTCTTATGATTCTGTGTAATCCTAACTGTACAGTATTTTCAACTGACATATTCCTGTATATTAAAAATAAACTTTTATATAACACTGATATTTACTGAGACCTCCTAAAATCATTTAGTATATAACAAGCAGGTTAAATTGGAATCTAAACAGGATATTCCATTGTTATTGCCTTAGAGTAAGATTCTTAAACAGATAACTATGGTTTTGTACATCATTACAAATAAAGAAACTTTAACCTTGCTGTGGTTTTTTTTTTAGTGTTATGTTTTCCTATTTCATCATTTTGGATGTAATTACTTTAATATTGTTCTCAAAGCATTAATAAAACAGCTTTACTGAGAGAGTAAGTGGGTGCATCCACACGTGCTATTAGCACAGAGCAATAAACTCTGCCACATATCGTGACAGTTTATTGCTCCTGGATACTATGTTTGAACATGCGCCTCAGACCACAGCACATTGAGCCAGGGCAGAGCAGCCCCAGCTAGTTAAGGGCCTGGGGAAATCCACCTGCCAGACGGAGGCTACTCCAATCAGGCTCAGTGTGCTGGGGAGGGGCTGGCTGGGGCATGAGGGTGATCTAGTGTGGGGCCAGCCAGCAGGCAGCACCCTCATGCCCAGCCAGCCCTGTCAAGTGTCTACACAAGCATTGCTGCACACTAAAGAACTCCACTGCAGGACAGTATGTGTATTTACAACTACTAACATGTGGCGGAGTTAGTTTTCTGTGGTCTAGTAGGGCCGCAGGTACAGACATTGAGACTTTACTGAAGAGCTAATAAGGCAGCTCCACAGTAAATATCTTGTGTAGATGTGCCCAGTGTATTTTATCAGGTTGTTACTGCATAGTTATTCCCTGTATAACCAGGAAGTTCAAGACTTAGCAGCACTTTGTTAGAACATATAAAAAATTGGGTAGCAACACCAGTGGCTCTACATTTGAGCAATTCAAGAAAGCTGACCTTTAGAGGTAAACTTTTCCAAAGCTCCATGGTTGCCTAATTCTCATTTTCCAAAGCAATTTAGACTCCTAAAGAACATAACTGCCATATTGGGTCAAAGCAAACGTCCATCTAGCCCAGGAGCCTGTCTTCAACAGTGGCAGGAATGGATGCTTTAGAGCAGTTGTTCTCAACTTAGACTCAGGGCACCCCTTGGAAAATGCCATCTCTTAGTTTCATAGTTTCATAGTTTCTAGG